ACGGTCGCAACGAGTTATCCGGCCAGCTAAGTGAGAGGCATGCGTTCAAAATGACAAGAGGGCCTCCAACGATACGGTCCTTAATCGGCATAGTCAGAATCACATGAGTCAACCTACACATAGACTCCGCTCGGCCTCCATTTATTCATCACCCCATGGTTCTGTTCCACGATAGCAAATATAGCCAACAGTGCTTCGGTATCCACCTATATCTCGTAGGTGACAGGAAATCACCCGACTTCTACCGGTTTAAGCATTGCTAAGCATATATTCGATCTTAGAGCTACACAGGGTTTATGGTATATTTCTGGACAAGAAAGTTATATGCATCAAGTGTTTCCAATCAACTCATATAATATAATGCATCAAACATAAAGGACGCAAGTGATATTTGTAAAAATATAGGAGGCTTAGAATACTTCGGAGCTTGTCTGGAATCCAACACAAAGTCAGTTCAGTTAGCTTGCACCATCTTGGAGAACATCTTCCACTCTAGGCATGCACTCCAGGGTCCTTCCATCTTCGAGATAGGTCTACCAACACCGTCTTCTGGTTTGACTCTATTATCACGTGTTTCATGTCCACGCATTATGCATCTAGCGTACCTAGATGAGATGCAATAATGCAAGTGCATGAATGCGAAGAATGGTAACATGAGATGCATCATATAAAAGAATTCAATACAAGTATAATTTACACCTCAAGACATGCACCTAGAGTTATTTAACTAAACATCAACCAAGCACAACAGGTGGATATAGCCAGCATATCAAGCATGGCATACCCGTTAACTTCAGTTCAGCTATTGCAAACATTTATGAATCAAGAACTAACTAACAAGTTTAGCCAACACAAGAGTAGGCTAAAGCAATCACCTAGCCCATGTACAAAAATCTGACAGCAGCATCGCAGTCACTCGTTGTAGCCATAACTAGAGTTACAAGCATTCAATAAAAGTGATTTTAGACTTTCTGGAAAGCTAATGAAATTATCTACAACTTTGTTATTCATACCAAAGGCTAATTCATAGGTTAACATGATCAAATATGCTAATATTTCAGGTCTGCACAGATAAGGATAGAAAACTGATAGTAACTTCAGAGATGCGTAACTAGAGTTCTAGACATTCAGCAAATATGATTCTTAACTTTATGGAAAGCTTATTAAGTTATATATAACTTTTTTATTATCATCTTAAGATGATTTTACAGCTAACAAGGTTAAACAACCCAATGAAAGCATCTCTGTCCAAATTTGAACAGAACCTGCCATTCTAATTTAAATAGCAATAACTTGAGTTCTAAACCAACAAAAGCAGTGATCTTAGATATTTTAGAAATCTTAGGAAAAGCACTACAACTCTCATATTATCACCAATATATGACTCCATGTTTAAATAAGCCAAATAATACAATCATTCAAATCTGTTCAGAGCACATGCAAAAGCTGACAGCAAACTTGTAAAATCTATAACTCCTAAACCAGTAGGCCTAAAATCATGAAATTTTAGAAAAATCAATATAAGGAAATTATCTACAACTTTTGTATTCAACATATCTATAGAAAACATCATTTGCATCATGAAAATATCACCACCACAGAAACTATACATGCAGCCATTTTCAGTACATAAGCAAATTGGTGCTTCACTTGATTCTATAACAAGGTGACATAAAAGCACATCCAACACATAGCTCTAAGCCATCATGAGTAACCCATACAACCTCATCTCAAACCAACACATGACATTAGCATCACAAGAACCACGTATAAACATCTAATAAGAAAAGCACGTGCTCCTTCAAAGTTTAGTTAACATGCAACTAATAAAAAGGTGATGTTGCAAATATTCTAATTTGGAGCCTAAGTTTTTATGAGAGAGATATGATAACAAAGCATGGCTACTGTACAAATTTTACATGCTCAAGTTTTATAAATTAATTATTACATGCAAAACAAGTTTTTATTGCAAATAAGCATGTGAGAGCAAGACAAATCTAAACCTCCACATTTTCAGTAAACACATGACCAAATTAGGTTTGCTTAGGTTACCACCACACCATGCAAAGGCAATGGAACAATTTTTTCCATTTTTTACACCTTTATGATATTTATCAAGCATTTGCAACTACTTATCAAGCACCAAGCAAGATAAATTAATAACTTAGTAATACATGCACCAAAAATCATAAAATTTTAACCAGAGCTCATGCATCACATAGATATCCTACAATTAAAATTTCATGCCATTTGAAGCACTACAACTTTAGGTATGAGAATAACAAGCAAAACAAGCTAAAATTGCCTATTTAACAAGATTAAGTCAAAACATTATAAAAATAGTACACAACTAGCATATTTAATATTTTTATTAGCTAGAGCATGTCATCACAAGATTAACACAACTGGAATTACTATTTTTGGACTTCTATAACTCAAGATATGCATCTGTGCAACTTAAAAGCATTTTTAAAAGCACTTTACAAGAATAAATAAAAACAACAGAAACTTTCTACTAACACATATCATATTATGACTCTAATGCGTATATCTAATCACAAGGATTTCAAAACATGTTCATTTGCTATTTTACGATTTTTCTACGATTTACTATGATTTTCCAAAGTTTCAGCCATAAAAGAAAAACAAATTTGCACTGAGGACCCTGAACTTTCATGAAAACATATTCCAGCGAAACGGTCCTTCTAGTCACTATTCACATGAGTCACAGACTTTGCAGATAGGCCCTTCGCTTTCTTCAAATTCTTGCGCGAGGTCATTCTTCTTCTTCTATCGAAGAACAAAGCCGAGGGAGGGGGCGGTCGGGCTCTGGCCGTGGCCACGCCTGGCCCTGGGCTTGGCTGGCTGCGGCCAGCAGTTGCTCGGCCGTGGTAGCAGGCGGCGGCGACAAACATGGCTTTAGTGGTGGCTGTGAGCAGTGGCGTGTTTGGCAAGGCGACGCGGGACAAGGGAGGAGGCAACGGTGGAGCCGGCAGCGGCCTTAACTGGGCGTGGCTACAAGAGGGTGGCCGACGGTGGGAGGAGCGAGCAAGGCTGACGAGCTCTGCTCGACCAAACCGTCCAGTGGCGAGACCGAGAGAAAGAGGAAGGGAGAGCGAGTGAGCTAGAGACAGAGCTGAGGAAGCTTGGTCTCCGTTTTCTCGAGCACGGTCACGAGGTGGCGAGCGGCGGGCACACCAGAGGGCCACGCGGTGCGTGGCTCCTGCCTACGGTCGGCCACGACCGGTTGCTGAAGGTGTTCAGATTGTCCAAAAAATGACTAAACCTCAAACTTCCTCCTTTCATATCTCTCAAACCATTTGATGATTCGATCAACTAATTTCTCCTTGTTGTAGTGCTACGTGAGTACTACACTTTTGCTAAAGGGAGCTTGGCCAAACTCGAATTGGTTTGCAAGTTACAAACTCACAAACAAGCCTACATGGAAACTGAAAACAACCATTCAGTCCATTGAGGACTTAGCAAATTTTTCGAGCTCCAAAGCAGCAATGGATTCCAACTTGAGGGCTCTGTTTGACTAAGTTAGAGACTGAACTAGGTCTTGACCTTTAAACAAAGTTTGTTTCACTCAAACTAAACTACAACTTTTATTTAAGGTGCAAGTCCATGCAAGCACTCTAAGTGATAGGTCAACATAGGTCAAACTAGCATCACGATAAATCTTGAATTATCCTTTTTGATCCATTGAAGCATTTTCTGGCCACTTGCTCAGCATGACCTTTCATAATTTTTGTTCATGAGCTTAATTAGAGTTATTTGAGTAAGGTTATAAGGTTTGGTTGACACCATATGTTCTCATTCACATAATTGTGCAATTCAAGCAAGAATATAACTTACCATTTCATGTGACTTCTTGGTTCTAAACTTCATGAAACTTTTTCAATAGTCAATGTAGATGGAAATAAATGTGAGGCACATGAAAGGAGCACTTTCAACATTACTCAGGCATACCTTTTAAAAAGGGGTCAACATAGAAGTAAAGGTGTGTTGTTCAAGTTTAAGTTGGGGCTCATTCTTAAAGAGTTGATCTCAACACCTTTGTCACCACTTACAAGTTTGAACTAGAGCTCTTGATTACCACTGAACTTGTCATGTTGGACTCAAACCACTGCTTAACTGGTGACAAACACCTGGGGTGTTACACAGGCACGGGGAGGGGAGGTCGCCGCTGGAGAGGGGGTCGCCGCAGAGGAGGCCACTGGAGATCTGAGAGATAGAGGGGAAGGGAGGGAGGTGAAAGATAGCGAGCGGGTGGGCTGGCGAGCGCTTCTAAGGGGCGTGAGTGGGTGGGCGTTTAACCTCCAGATATAATACAATGTCAAACATTATCACTCCTGTCCAAATGCTCGCACACTATTAACCCCTAATAAGTTGGCTGCCGCCTTGTCATGGGGTAGTACCGTAGAAAAACAGCAAGCAGAAAGTATTTACCACTACTTTGGTCCAAATGCTCGCAGACTATTAAGGCTCCGTTTGGCACTGCTCAGCTTCATCATATAAGCTGTTTTGTGCATAATAGCTTCATGAGCAACTTTTTTGTTGAAGCTGAGTTGTTTTGGAATAAGTGTTTGGCAAAACAGCTTCACATGATGGAACAATGAATAGAATGACTATAATATAGGAGATGAAGCTGGGATAAGCTACTTTTTTCAGCTTCATCTCAACTCATATCTTTATAAGGGGAGGAGAAAAACAGCTTCACCCATGAAGCTGTTTTGGAAATGAGTGTTTAAAAAAAAACAGCTCACGGCAACTCATGAAGCTGTTGTGAGTTATGCCAAACAGCCCTCGACATCAACAGCATTAAGTCATAAATTGATATATCTATATAGAACTCACTAGTAGAAACTATAAATTAAGGACCTGAAAATAAATACTACTTGAACTTTTTATAGTATGCTGCTAATCAAACTAACTGACGCCAAAACTCGCTATATATAGCTGATCGTACCCAACAACTCCATAACTAATTTGGGTGTTCACGGTAGTCGTGGCCTCTTGAACCGGTTCTGCACATGGTCTAGTAAAGACGGGACCTTCTTCATCAGGTCGATGTACTCGTTGGTTACCGCCACCGCCTTGAACTTTTCACCATCCGCAAGGAAATCGAGGCACCTGGACTTGAGCTTCAGGCAAGCGCGCTCTTCGGCAAACTGCAAGCTTGACAGCACCGTATCTGTGTTGACGCTAGCACATAGTATCTCCTCGCACGTCTGTTTGAGGGTGTCCAGCCCGTATTTGTCTGCAGCAACGTATAGATCCTGGAACTCCGACATCATCCAAGCAGTCTCGGCAGGCAGCAAGCCATGGTACATGTAATGGAGCATGGATTTGAAGGTGGATGCCTTCATGTCTTGGATGGCAATCGAGCTCTCCTGCTGCTGGCTGCCTTCAGCCATTTGACGACGACCGAAGAGTTCTGTCCTGAACACTGGAGAGCGCGCCGCGAGCACGAGGCGGTGCGCCCTGAAAGTCTCCCCGTCGACTTGGAAGGAGACATCGGTGAGATCGGAGGTCATGAGAATATCATGCTCTAGTCTAGACAGAGTCGGCAACGGCAACGGCGGCCAGACTTTTGAAACCGCCACCATGCAAATCGCGGTGAAGTGGTCGTCCACGACGCAATTCGCCTCGACGTCAGACCTCTTTGCGATCAAAGAGATGCCTTCCTTACAATCTGTGGCGACGGGTTTTTGTCTGAGCATGCCTTCCTTGCAATCTGTGGTGACGGGTTCTTGTTTGACCGCCATGCCTTCCTTGCAATCTGCGGTGACGGCGGGTTCTCGTCTGACCATGCCTTCATTGCAATTGCAATCTGTGGTGACGGTTTCTCGTCTGACCGTTACAGGAGGAGGTGTCAGGCCGGTCCTAGCCGGCAGATCAATATGCGCCGCCAGGAGTTTATGCTGCCTCTGCTGATGGTGCTGGTCATCCGTGCGAGTGATCACCACAGATATCTTGATGTGGTCAGACGATTGCCAATTCGGCCAGTACTTCGTGGTACATGTGAAGCCAGCAGCGGCAGGGATGGAGACGTCAATGTCGATGCACTCGTCGCCGGAGAGATGCTTAGTGGCCGAGTTGTTTACTCTGACATTGAAGGACTTGGACTCCCGGGCGTGGAAGACCGTGCATGCTTTCTGTTCGGCCATGAGCTAGATAGCTTCGTCGATGCGGCGGGACAACAAGTGCGACTTCACACGATGCAGCGGGACAAGTGCGACTTCGCTAGAGGGTTGAGAGAGGGAATAGTATGCTGGCCGGGAACCGCAGCCGGCAAACGGGGGAGGAGGCAGCCTTTTAACTGATGCTGCATCTGCACACATGGAAATAATATCCAACTTCAAATTCATAATAGGACAAGGCCTCTTTTTCTGTTTATGGATGGAAAAGCAGATCATCGTGGAGACGGAGAGACAGGCTGCTCATGTTTTAAAAGGAAACAAACTCTACGGCTTTTTTAGAAGGAAAACAGCCTTTTTTTTAAGAAGGAATCCTATTCAATCAGGTATTCAGGTCTCGTGAGGTAAAGATGGGAAACGCTATAACCAAAGGGAAAGAAATTCTATGCGACCATGTCGCACCCGGCTTCGACACCATCGCATTATATGCGACAGTGTTAGTACGTTTTGGATACGACACTACTTGCATGATCACCACGCGTCCACGCTGGTGCTTCTAATCTCTTCTCTTCTCTATCTCTCTACAACTACGTCTACCTAACCGTGGTGAAGCCGCGACACCGAACGCTTCACCCGTTGAAATTTTGCACCGACATGTGGCCCCTTGCGTCCCTCGCTCGCTCGCTCGCCTCGGCCGATTCCACCGCGACCAAAGTTTGCGCCGACATGTGGTCCCACACGTCCCTCCCTCTCTCGCTCGCCTCGGGCGATTCCGCCGGGCCGCCACTCCTTCCCATTCCGCCTTACTCGGCTCCGCACGCCGTCCCGTCACGCGTGCTGCCATCGCCCTATCCCTGTCCCGTCACGCGTGCTGCCATCGCTGGAGTGTGGATGGCCGGGATGTGCCGGCAGGATCTGGGCGCCAGGATGAAGGACGCCGGTTACGAGGGCGCCACTTGCGCGGACAGTAGGATCAATGGAGGACGCCGGCTGCAAGGGCGCCACTTGCGTGGCGAATAGGATCGAAGTTCAAAGGGGAGGACTATGCCATCGCTAGCCGTGGAAGGGTACCTACCGCCGCCGGTGATCGCGTAGATCTCGCCGCCCCCGCTGAGGACACATCAACGGGCGAATCTAAAGGATGCCCCTGCTGCAGCAGTGACAACAGCAAGGGAGGACGAGGCCACGGCCCCGATGAAGGCACCAACCAAGGTGAGTTCTGTCTCCTGGGCTCCTAGCTTCCTTCACCCACCTAGATTCCTCTTCCCCAAACTCTTCTAATCTCCTTGATTTTTCCTGTCTCAATCTGATTGGGCGTCAGTTTCTAGCGAACCTACTTAGGGTGTGTTTGGTTGGGCTGTGGCTTTTGAAAAAGCAGCTGTGGGCTGTGGACTTTCGAAAAGCTGCTTTGAAAAAGTAGCTGTGGGCTGTGGACTTTCGAAAAACTGCTTTGAAAAAGTAGATGTGGAAAAAGCAGAAGACCGTTTGGTTGAACAACTGAGGCGGCTTCTTGAAAACACCTACGAATGGACCCCACATGTCAATCACAGTCCACCTGATTCTACTCTCTCCCGCACTCACTGACGCGTGGACCCGCTCGTCATCTTCTTCCTCCTGGAGCAGACGCACCGGGACCCGGGGGTGGGCCGGGCCACTGAGCAACCACGCCGGGGCAGGGGCTGAGCGGGGCCGCCGAGCTCCCACACGTGCCTGGGCAGGCTCGCGAGCAGCCGCGTTGGGGCAGGGGCTGAGCGGCAGCGGCTGGGGCAGGGGCCACCGGAGATCCCGCGCGCGTGCATGAGGGGAAGAGGAAATGGCCGAGGGCTGCGGCACCGCCGTGCAGGCCGCCGGGCCAAGGCTCGCGAGCAGCCGCGCAGGGGCTGGGGCGTCGTCACGCCGCCTGCTCCACCTCATCTTCCCTAGATCCGACAAGGAGAGACCGCCCGCCGGGGAGAGGACCGCGCCATCCGCCTGGGGCTCGCCGTCCTGGCGCGCGGCAGCCGGAGAGGAAGAGCCGGCGTGGGGTGGCCGGCTGGGGGAGCGGCGGCTGGCAGGCCGGGGAAGAGCGCCGCCGCCGCACTGTCGCGTTTCATCGCGAGCCTTCGACGGGAACAGTCATGGACGGGAAAAGAAGAAGAAGAAACGAACGAGTGGCAGGTTGGTAAATATTTGTCCCAAAAACAGCCGAAAGCAGAGAGAAACCTGCTTTCAGTTTTATACTGGAGAAAAACTATTTTTGATAAAAATATCTGTGGTTTTTGACTCTTTGATTGGCTTTTGACTTTTACAAAAATAAAAACAGGTTCAAAAGCCCAACGCGCTTAAATTCAGAAGCCAGCCAAACCGGTTGCATGGATCGTTGCTGCATGCATACAAGGCCTCACAGATGCGGACACTTGTGAAGGCTAGGATCCTATGACAACTTTTTTTATCTTTATCTGATATCTGATTTTTACTAAGAACGAATAAACAGTCTTCAAATTGATTTCATTTAATCATCTCCCGTCTACTATGCAGCAGTCACCCAGAAGCTGTAGGAAACCTTTAACACTGTGCCAACACACTAAGAGGGTTAGTTTTAAATGGGAACCCTGGTCACAGCTGCTGCAGTGAAATTTAAATAGTTTCTGTGTGCTTAGATCAAATACAAAGAAACTCCTTCCTACTTCTCTCTTCTGTTTTATTTTTCTGTGGATACTGAGGTAAGATGGAAAAAATAGCACACAAGTAATCAGGTCTTTCAGGTTCTTTATGTATTGACAGTTTGGCTTGGATGTCCTCTCACATTCAGTTAATTATCTTGTTGCTGTACTTTTTTTTATCACATAGTTAGTGCTTAATCCCCATAGGTACATATAACTACAAGAGGTGCTTACTGGATTTAAGGGGCTTTGGAGTTTGAAAAAAGATATGCTAATGAATTATAGCTCAGTAAATGCCCATCGCCTATTTTGTCAGTGTCCAGATCAAGTAATGTTGTTTTCACCATTCCTCAGGCTTCATTGATGCAGACTGCAGAGTGATGTAAAAATTGGTAGATCTGTGTAGACAAGTTCCGTATTCGTGGTACAAAGATCCTACAATCTCTACATGAATCAAGAATAGTGTTTAGATTTCTGCTAGATAAGAGTAAATTGCTTTCGTATTAAGTTATGGTTGTTTACGAAGGAGCTGTGTTTGACTTATTCTGGCTCCTTAATGCACATTTTGTTGGTTTCATCTTCTGCCAAGCACATGACTGAAGAATATCCTTAACTTACTTTTTCTTCCATGAATAAGTCTTTCTTTTTGTATAGTTTATTAAGATATTTGGAATTTGCCAGTATTAGCTTATAACCATTTTTTATCGCATGTTCTATTGCAGCTGATGTTTTGCATGGCTCTCACAAGCCGAATCTTTTTTTTTTTTTGGTTTCTACTGATGCTTACATTGTAGTACTAACCTGAACTCGACAAAGATGTTAGTTGCCATTGTAGGTCACCAGTGGCTTGCGACAAGTTCTTGATGCTTCTTGCAGAGATTGTACAGATCATGCTAGACAAGTGCTATATTTTGCAGGAGTCATACGATAGCTTCAAGGTAAAAAAAAAGGAAACTGTACTTGTAGTGCATTTTGGAGTATTCCATCAGAGACCGATCCTACTTCGAGAATGTTAGTCTCACGTACCATTTGATAATGTGTAGCAGCCTGTCAAGGTTTATTGCATCCTTTTGATAATGTGAAGTTGTGTTCTTTTTTTTTTGAAATATAAGGGGGTGAATTTTCTCATTACTGTTAAGATAGAGATAATTATAAGAAAAATGGAAAAAATCATGTGCAAACCTTTTCCCATTTGGAATAGTTCCATATGTACAGTTTCAAAGATTTTGCCTCATCTTTTAATTTATTTCAGATACCCAATTTTTTTTACAACTTTGATAATATTGGGCGTGTTCGGCTGGCTTAAAGCCAGGCTGGCTTGTTTTTTCTCTCACAGAATCACTGTTCACGTCCTGTCAGAACAGTATTTTTCTCTCACAACAATCAGCCGGAACAGTATTTTTCAGTCCTGTCGAACAGGCCCAATTATTTGCGTAGCTGTTTTAGTTACCCAAGTTAGGTTCTCCTGAGTCCTGAGATCTCCAAGTTTCCAACAATGGTTAATAATATTGCTAATTTTCTATCCTTTTAACAAATCCTTTATGGGGGTCAAGCACTCGCTCTTCCGTGCTCCAGCAGCTTAAGGAGCATATGAGAATGGGCTCGTGCTTGAAAATAACAGACACATCATTTCAAAGCTGCTATCTAACTGTAAACTTCTTATGGCTATCAATCTCCGGTGTTGTGACCAGGTAACTGATAATGCATTCCTGACGGGGTGGTGGTGAAGCCAAATTGGTCGGAGAGATGACTTGCAGTGTAAATGGTCTTCCATGCTATGATGATCAGATTAGTTAAACATTTTACAAACTTCAGCACTATGACCTGAAAAATGTAATCCATTTTAATGCATGGAGTTAGTATTGAGTGAATCAAGTTGTGTAATTTGGGTGACCTATGAGAAGAATAATGTGTTTTGTAGAAATTCTTAATAAAATAATGTGTTTTGTAGCTCACTTCCACATTGATCTATGGACCTAACACCCTGGGCTCTCAAGGCTATTGAAAAAATTAGAAGAAGCTTTCTCTGGAGTGAGAGCTTGTTCACTTTGGTTGCCACTTAACCTACGCTAAGGTGGTCGGGTATTATTTTATTTCTGTTGCATCGCACGGGCACTAACCTAGTGATGCAAAAAAGGATGCATCAAACTATCATCAGGATGGTATGTTATGGCGCTTGCAGCACCTCATCTACAATCATATACCATCCTTACTCCTTAGTAGCACCTCAGGTCCTCAGATCCTAGGTATGTACAAGAGCTTTAGTAGCACCTTAGGTCCTGGGTTCGATTCTCCGTGAGAGCGAATATTTTAGGATTTAACAGCATTTTGCTTTCAGCCGTAGGCGATGTTCCCATCAATAACAAATCGTCTGTGGTGACTTCGTCA